TGTTGGTGACCCGCCTTACTGTTTGCTGCCTGTGCCCGGATAGCCTGAATTGCTCTACAGAGGACTATCCGGTGGCCCTCAATACTTGAAGGACTGCCAGCTGTCTGTTGCACTGAGCCATTTGTACTGCTTTATAATTTAGTTGACTGTTTATTTCTTATGTTATCTCTCTATATAGATGTATATAAAATTATTAGCGTTCTGGATTTGTTTCCCTAGAGAACCCTGTCTGACACTGCTGTATATAAGGCCACTCTGACTGGAACCAACTTGACAGCATCTACCAACACCATATCTACTTTTCTGTGCTCTGGGTTGTTGTAGGAATTCTATTTGATGCCTACGCAATCCTATCTTTTCTTGGAAAATGTATTGCTGAATATCTTCCTCTCCGTGGTTCCAAACTGGGGTATATGTTAAGTGACTACATCTAGTTCTCAGAGCATGTATGTCTCTTGCCTTCCTGTCAGATTGATTTTGTCAGTTACCGCTGCCACGGAGTCCAGTCAGTTCGCTCACGGCAGCTCCGGGTGGTGCAGACCAGAACGGGACTCCATCGAGTGTTCAATGGCCACGAGCTCTCAGATCAGGCCAGGTCACCAGGTCCATCCTCTGACATGCCCATGGGGAGATTTGAGCCACGAACTTCTCAGCTCATAATCGAACACTTAACAGTTTATGTCACCCAAGGACTCCTATGAGACCATTAGTAGTCACGTAATCTATGAGCTGAGAAATCAGACAATTGACCTTTTGAAAATTTCCTACAAAATAAGAGATTGAGTTTTCATAAAATGATGTATATATAATTTATTGATTGTGTTTTTAAAGCGTTATTTTGGTTTTTTATTTCTTCAGTGTCTTCTGTATTCTAAAATAGGCAATGATGGAGATTTGAAGTTTGAATAGGTAGATCATACTACCAACCAGAAAGCTACGTTGTAAAATATTCTATGCAACATATTCTATTGTAAAGATATTTAAATAAATACTAAATATTATATTCTTATTATTAAAAATTTAGGAAACGGGATTAGTCTTTCTATAATAAATGAATAGGAAAAAAAAATGAATAGATGAGTAGGGAAAGGAAGGCTATCAATACTGATATTGATCTTCTTTCTGACTACAAAGTAATTGTTTTTTTTTGTTGAGTTCTTTTATTTTGATGAGAGTTTAGAAGAGTTAGTCTGCATATTAGGGATGTTTAATATAAAAGCTATGCTAAAGTAACTTGAGAACATGTAATATGATATTAACATCTTATCCTCCTAAATTTTTTTTATATTCAAGATTATCTAGGCAAAATGGAAAAAGTCAATGACTTTAAAAAGAAACATGGTAACTTACAGCCAACGGAGTCGTGGCATGTGCTGGCAAAGCGATTTATCAGGCAAATGGGTGAGGGCATTATTCATCAACCCTCTGAAAAAGGAAGAAACAAAAGAAGTCACATTTATCTCCTTTTCCCCTCTGAAGTCAAGTATGGTGTTTCTATTATTATAAAACCATGAAAATAGATTAAGTTGGCTGTTTCTACTTCTAAATCTTCCCTGTAAGTCCTTTCATATCTACATACCTTTCAGTAATAACATCTGGACACGTCTAAGTCACAATCTGGGAGGTATAACCCCATATATAACCTTTCAGTGGTAACATTTG